AGAGTTTGCAGCAGAAAGCCAGAACAAGCGCTGCTACACCCCGAGTGCAACTGCTGGTGCAACAAACCCACCCTCCTCACCCACGGGGTGCCCCTTGTTAGCCTGCGTGGGCACTGCTGCTCCATCACACGGCAGCGAGCATCCCAGCCCCTGTTCCTCGGGGTCCATCCGACGCACAACCCTCAAGGTGCCCCTTGGTGGGGGCTCAGCACCCCGAAGACGCCAGACCTCCAGGCAGCACCGCCTGCACCAGAACTGGTGCTGAGCAAGGTGGGGCAGAGGACGCAAAGGGGGAGCTGAACGGTTTGAGCCCCAACGACAGAACATCCCTGCAGCGAGGGGACAGCTGCGCCCAGCAATAAGGAGGAGGACGGTTCTCACCCGGCAGGCCCCAGCCCGGAGGACAACCTGCCATATACCTCCTGCACAGCCCTGGCTCATCTGGCCAACTGGGAGCCCAGTGACCCCCCCCACTGGTGCCCGGAGGGCTGTACCAGGACCCCCATCCCCTGGGCTCTCCCTGCTCGCCCTGTCCCCTGCCTGCAGCCACAGGGAGCCAAGCTGTGCACCCTGCTCAGCACCCAGTGGGCTGGCGGTTGCTGGTGGGAAATACCGTGTCTCCGGGGGCCAGGAATTGTCCCCTCCCGGACTCCACGGTCTCCACAGGCAGCCTGGGTGTCCTGCCTGGAGAGGTGGGTGCCCTGTGCCCCTCTGGAGGGTGCAGACAGGCACCACATTTGCCAATGCTATTGCATACCATCTCTGTGACCCCTTCCGGCACCTCTCCGGCACACAGCATGGCACAGCACCCACCCCAGTGCCACAGCTCACCCTGCAAAACAAGGGACCCAAACACCCATGAACTCCACCTCAAAACCCTCCTGAAAGCCATAAAGGGGATCAGCTTGTTCCGCTCCTCCACTCGTTCCCCCGAGCCGCTCCTGCCAGGGAGCGTTTTGGGAAGGGCAGAGCTACCCACGGCCACTCCGTCACATCGGTCCCCAGGAAGATTCCAGCTATTCTCAAGCCAGGCAAAGCAGGTCCTCAGGGTTTTGCTTTTAAAACCAGAGCAATGCTAGGAAGAAAAACAACCGAGTGGCATCTCAGGGGTCAGAGAACCAAGAATTCACAAGGCATTAGTGCAAGTCACCCAACAATTAACGCCAGATACAGGGAGGGCAGAAAGGAGGGAACAGTGACAAATCCATCCCAGGATTGCGGCCCTGCAAGCACGGGCAGGCAGCCAGGCTTGCGCTCCAGGGATTTGCAGTGTACCCGTCCAGATTGCTTTGCAAAAACAAGGCGCTTTTACGCTGAGGGCGGTTTTGGAAAGTACACGGGATTCTTGCAACTGAGTGATGAAGCCCGGGAGAGAAAGCGAAAAAAGAAAAAAACAAAAAGGGGGAGGGAGCAGACATACATTGTTCCAAGAAGTGAGGCCAAGAACCTGTCACAGCCACACAAGACACAAGAACATGAAGACATGAAGATCACAGGTGGACGTCACCAATTTACTGACAAACAGCAGCTCCCACGGAGCAAAGATCAGCACGTGGCTGCTTCTTGGTACCAGAAGCAGATTCCCAGAGGATCTTCGAGAGCACACCAGTGACGGACCAGGCAATAAGGAGCAGTGCAAGCGTTTGCTACTCCCTCAGCCCCGGGGGAGCCTGTGTACTTACTAGTCCTAATTTGTTTCCTCTATCCCTGCTAATCCTAACCACTCAGAGTAGGAGTTTCCACCAGGGAGAAGGGAATTAGATTTTCTCGAGGACGCTAATCCATTTAAATACAGCACTTCTTAGGAGACTCGGCACTTTTCCCAGGGAGCAGCCCTGCCTGCTCCCCACACAGCCCTCTCTCTCCCACCTGCCCAGGGAGACAAGAGATGGGTCCCAGCCCTTGAGAGCACCAAGCTGTCAGAGCAGAGGCGCTTGGAGAAGCAGCAGCTTCCTCCAGGTCTTGCTTAAGAGAAGAGCTGCTTTAGTCCAAAACAGCATGAAGTCACCTGTGGACTTGCTCCCAGAGCAGCTCATCCCAGGGAAGCTGAAACAGTTCTACCCCCACTTGAAGGCCTGCATCTGTTCCACAGGGTTGGCTTGAAACTTGGTCGAGCAACACTCTGTGCACGCTGCTCCCTGATGTTTGAGGGCACAGGAATGTGCTGCCATCATCAGGGCACATGCACAAGCCCATCTCTACCTCCCTCTGTCCCTTCTGGCTGCAGGGGACAGCCCTCCCAAAGCATCATCACAAATTGATCGCTAGAGAAAGGACGGACTCACCTCCTCCTGCCATAGTGCATTTGCTTTGGTTGCCTGGAGGAGCTTCGGTAGTATCAGCCCCCAGGGACGCCGGTCCTACAGGAGTCACTTGTTGGTCAGACACCGAGAACAGCTCAGGAGCAGCTGACAAAGCCCCTCTGAGCTGCAGGCCACCGCCAAGCCAGATCCCAGCGTGTCTCCTGCTTTGGTAAACCAAGAAGTTACACAACCACGCGCTCCCTGTTATCCAGCTCCCAAAAGTAATTTCAGGTCAGAAACAGTCCAAAAAGCCCATTTTAGAAAGTACCGGTTTATTGGGGGGGGGAATAAATCAGTAACAGTGGAAAATCCCCAAGAGCAGTTACACAAGAGATTCTAAATATCCCAAGAAGCAGACACTGCTCCTGCCTTCCTGGTAGTGCTGTCCATAGGCAGTAAAATCCTCCCTCTCCTTCCCAGCCTACAGTGAACTCTGTGCAGTTTTTAGAGCCTCCCAGAGCCCAGTGTTTTCCCGAACACACTTGTACTGGGACCAAGTGAGTGAGTCAACCTGGAGAAGCAGCCTTGGGAAAAGTCCTCTCGCACCGATGTCTCAATACACAGTTCGCCTGCCTAGCTCTGAGAAGCAGCTCTCATCAGCTGAAGCTGAATTTCTTTGTTCTATTGCCTCTACAAATTTGGCCTCAAGCCTACAACAAAGCCTCAGTAAGGAGGCTTCAGGAATCAGCGAGATTTCTAAACAGCCTTTGCAACCATCCGGTTCTGTGCTGCCTACTCAGTCACTCAGTTTGGGGACCCACACTCAGATTTCGTCTTAAACCACACCAGATTCACAGGGCTGCAGGACACGACTTGCACCAAGTAGTTCCGTAACACCTTCCTGAAACAGAAGCATCTGACATGCATGTTACCCTTCGCTCTAGGAGCATTGGGCGAATTGGTCTAATTCTCAGTAGAGGTAGGAGCTATGTACATGATATAGTAAGAAAGATCCACTGAAGAAGGTTCAGAGCCAGCTGTCTACGAAAGCTCAGTGCCCCCAGCTAGGAGATGCCACCGAGGCACCAGCCAGACCGCAGCCAGCCTTCTCCAAGAGGCAAGAACTCGGCACAGTACCGCAGGGGACTCTGCAGGCAGCCAGCCCCCCAAACATAAAGTTATTTTCTCTGTACTGCGAGCTTCCAGCGCTTGCTTCAAAGAGCAACCCCAGCTGGGGATCCCTGTTCCAACTCAGGGATCAAACCCGGCACACGAAGGACCGCAGCCCGCTTCCAGGCACGGCCGGGACACGGCGACGCGGCCCCGGGGCTCAGGCTGCTCCCAGCTGCCTTCCCCAGCACGAGCCCACTGACAAGACACAGTATGACAGAGATCTTACAGTAAGGCTGCTGAAGGATTAACTCCAGCCCTTTCACTCTTAACCGTATATTTCTCAGCAAAATATATAATATATAGCTCTATAGGACTGATTATATTACAGGCTAGAAATACTCGTCTTTTCCCTACTTTAATCATATAATGAATCCAATTTTGCATACAGATTAATCCTAGAAGTTATTGCCTTGAATTTATAATTAAAATTCATAGAATAAAGCTTAAATAGTTTTCACAGAGACTCATTGCATTAGTGTTTTACATAAAAAGGATAAAAGTTACCAAATGAGAAGAGCAGCCATTTCAGAAACTATAAATAATTCTATTTAAAAAAAAAAAAAAAACAAAACAACCCCCAAATCCTAAAAAAGTTATGGGAAAACCATAAATATCTTTACCCTCTACAGTAGCTGCTATAGAACTAGAAGAAACCTGTAACACACTGTAGCTAACTCTGCTTCAGTTCAGAATATGGATCATATAAAACAACATCTCTAGAGAAATGCCCGGCCAAAGGAAACACAAAGGGATTGAAAAAAATAAATCTGAGGAAATTAAAAAAGTAGATTTTTTTTTTATTATTTCAAAACAATTTCTACAAACTTTATATAAACATTAGGCTATTTTCTTTAAAATTTTGTTATAAAAAAAAATCCTACAAGCAATCCTTAAAAAAACGTAAGAGACCAAAGGCAAGGAAAGGGTGTCATAGCCAAACACAATGGGCTGTCCTGATTTCACGGATTAACGACCCTTGCCTGGGGCCGACAGGAAGAGACAGAAGTCTCCTGGGGAAGCTGTTCCCATAGGCCCTTTACGGCATTCAGGGATTTTGAGCCCCTATGGGCCTTTTACTCCCTGATAAGGCAACATTATCTGTAGTGTAAGAGATTCATAAATAGTTCTCCACAAAAATGCTTCACATCAACAGCCTGCTGGAAGACATCTATTAGCAAGTTTTATAAAAAATAAAGCCATCTTCTACAGAAGCAGCCAATCTGAGCACAGCACACTGGATGCAAACACACGGTGTTTGCTTCCATACAGTCTGTTTTGTGTTTATATACCCTCTAAAAACCAAGCAGAGAATTTGGCATCTTTATTCTTTTTACACTAGCTTTAGAAAAAAAAAAAAAATACACTGAGGTGGTTTGTTTTGGTTTCGGGGTTTTTTGTGGGTTTTTTTTCAGACTCTTTGTATTTCATTGGGCCCTTGTTAGCTGAGTGGGATGGGAAGGGTCATGTAGGAAGTTTGTTTTTTTCTTGAAGTCGCTTTGAAATTCAATCCAAAAAAAGCATTTGTTCAGCACATCTCATCTGAGGGCACAGTGTTTCCATACAGTCTGTTTGTCCCTTGATGGGCATAAGGTGCTGCTGAGCTTTAAGCATAGAACTCATTTGTAGGGGCCTTCTTGTAGATTGGTTTCTTCCCGAGGTCGTAACTGCCTTCGTCCTTTTTCTTCATGCGATAGATTAAGAGGAGGATCAGGAAGACGGCAAACAGGAGGCCCACCGCCCCTCCTGCAATGAGAGCTGGGGGGGGAAAAAGAGCATGGAATAAGTCTGAACTTCTGGACAACTCCAAACCATCAGCTACACCAAATCTGCTTCAAGAGTACCAGCCCCCAGAACTGCCTCCAGAGTCAGCGTTGTCCACGTGCCTGTGGACACCGCATGCGCCAGCATTTTCAGCGCCAGCAGATGTTATTGGAAAAGGCCAGAAATTGTTCTTCATCTAACCACAGAATAATCACATGTTCCACATTAACCAGATTGTGTTAATATTCCATTGCAGTGCAAGAAAAGTTTTGATAAAAAGACATCCTCCCTGCACGGACACAAACCAAAAAAAACCACCCACCCAAAAAAGCCCCACCACAAACCACAAACCAAGCTGTAGCACTTTTCAGGAGTTGATGATGATTTGAATGCTTCGCTAACTACCTGCGTGAGCACACTCTGGGGACTCTATACTTCAATTAAACAACATCCTGCTACCACCACCACTTCCCTCCAAAAAACACCCCATCAACCAAAAACCACAAACACCCAGACAACCACCAAGATTTTCTCTCTCCGCACACCAAAAGGTGGCCACAAGACTTCAGTGAAGTTTATCCTTTGCTGTGACACCTACTCATTGTGCTAAATCAGCTTCTTTGTTAGGTGGCTTTGCAATCCACTCTTCCAGTTGCTCCTCCAACTGGGATGATAGCTGCAGATCGGCAAAATGTGCCGAGGTTTGTACTCGGACCATCAGGCCATGTGCTTGATGCCTTGAGACAGATCTGTCCCATGTGCTGAGGGGAAGCCAGTCACTTGGTTTTGCTCTAGACAGAATTATTTAGATTTATTACAGCTGACTAGGTGTTCAAATCCCTTAGAGGGTTTGTTTGGTTCCTGGTTAGGCTCAGAAAAAGCAGGACTTGGGCAGAGGTTAGAAGGAAAACACCCCATATTTGATATGAAAGTCTGTGATGTCATTGATTTATGGCTAGATACACTGCTTGCTAAGGTAGTATCTGCGTGCAGAGCAGCTGCTACATGACTTGTGTGTCACTTAAGCCAACAGTCAGCTGGCAGGCTCAAAAACAAGCTGTTTACCCCAGCAAGGCAAGCAGCTCTTCTGCTAAGGGACTAGAAGGCAGAAGTGACCCTGCTACAGGTAGTCACAGAGGTAACGCATCTCACTCCCCTTGTCAGCAGGGAGCTGCTCCCCAGAGAAACAGGGGACAATAGAAGCCATTTGGATTTACAGTATTAATGATTTATCAGGACAAGGTGGAGTATTACCTGTAAGGACTTCTGTTCTTTCAAAGATGCTGCTGTTGGCTGTGCTTGCCATGGAGATCTTGTTGGACAGGTTCTCTTCGACAGGTACAGCTTTGTCTGGAATGATTTCATTGTCCACCATTGTGTTTTTCTTCTCACCTTCTATCTTTCTCTCAGTATCTCCAGGGATATAGTTGTCAGATATCTACAGAATATAGACAACCACACCCATCAGTAAGCAGCACCCAGCCTTCCTACAGTTGAACGTAGGAGGGTGTGCAGGGAAAAGAAAGTTTGCTTAGTGCATTACAAGTATGCTGTTCCGCTCACGCGGGTAGATTCATCTCAATGCCACGTCTTGCAGGGGGGAAGGGTATTCAGAAAGCTTCACAGACAGACCAGAGTAGCTACAGCTACAGACCAGCATCGCTTAGAGTGTGCAGAGGCAATACTTACCACTGGAGTATCCACAGTGGTCAGATATATGGCATCTTCAGAGTCTGAGTAGTCTGCAGAGGAGGGGGGAGGGGAAAGTTAGAAAGAAAAAAAAAAGGGGGGGGGGGGGGGTTTCCTGGGGGCGGGGGGGGGCTGCTGTTTTCCTCTCATCACATGTCATTTTTCCAGAACTCAGACACTTCCTGCAATACCACAACTACAAACTAGGACTCTTGTTCTCTGCTGACTATAATTCCCTCTTATCTACTAGTGCTTTCACCAGTTAATGGCTTCGATTGCACAAGACCATGAGATGTAATCTTAAGAAGAACACCTCTCGCATGGGAGGCCTCTTCGGCTGGATCCATTGGTCCCTGCTGCAGATTATCAGGAGCTGCCCTGCAAAGCCCATCTGCTATAGCCTGCTAAGGGAATGCCAATGGTGAGGGCAATGCTCTCACCACCCATCCCTCAAGGGTAGTTTGCCAACCCTTTAGTTACCAGATCTGCCCAAACATGTCATGCACAGATTTCAGCACTTGTTCTTTCCCTTTTAGAGAACAAGTGTCCACATAAATGGGACAAGGAGCTACAGAAACTGGTTTGGGCAGGGAGCTTTGCATGTCACAGAGAGTTCACTTGAACACCAGTTAGTCCTTTACCTTGTTTGGCCTCAGCTGAGATACTAACTTTAAGCCTTTTAACACTGCCTCAACAATAGATTAAATTTTTTTAATTTTTTTTTTTTAGGTTTCTCAGAAATTCTTTGGCGTTCAACAGGAAAGAGATCCAGCCAGTGCAATGCCTTTTCACTTGCAGTAAGACCAGCTTGGCTGGACTCCATCTGTCCTCCCTCAGTGATTCAACATCACGGTACAACCACTTTCACTGTTCTCATCTGTGAGTGACTACGATTCACACTGCTTTCTCATCTCCACCTGACACTGTACTTCCCTCTGGAGCTCTGGCTGTGCATTTAGCCCACCACTCATGGGCTGGTACTGGCAGAAAGTATCAACTGAGGGAGATCCATTTTCCCCTTCCCCGCTTACCTCCAGACCCAGATGTCTCATCTATATCTAACTCATCAGAAGTTAAGTGAGGCCCAAATCTGCCAACGTCTTCATCATCTGGCAAGTCTCCGGAGGCAGGGTAGTCAAGCCATCGGGCGTCCATGGTCTCTGTTTCTCTCACCTGTAAACGGGGGTGGAGAAGCGTCAAATATCAGGCAACTCCTCAGAAGCATCTTGCAAAAGGTCAGGAGTTCAGAGCCTGTGCTGAGAACATCACTTCTATCAGAAGAACATTAAATGCTGAACTTCCTCTTCACTAAAAGCATTATCTTCATCAGCTGGGAAATAGCTGAATTCCCCTAGAATTTCTCAGAAGTGAGAACCAGCCTGGGACGGGAATTTCCCGAGTGCTACAGATTCACGAGGTTCACTTGAACCCACAGGATGAAAAATAAAGCAGGATCTTGATTAGGAGTTTGTACCAAAAGCATTTGGAAAAGCAGTACCTTCAGTCTGCAACAAGGGAGGATTTGGAAGGACTTGCTATTCCCAGAGAAAAGGCCTGGCACCTATAGGTCAGGTTTTTTCACAGCACTGAAGCCCTGTGCCAAGGAAACGCGTTGCTTCTTGTATTGAAAACAAACCTATTTTATCAGCCAAGGGTTAAAAACTGGTCTGTCAGTTCAGCTGAATTGCTCTGCAATATAAAGTGAGTTCAAGAGCACTTGCTATCAGTAATGACTTGCCTGAAGGAAGAGCTTGCCCTGCCTCAGTTCTTAAGACGCACGTAAACAAACAAGTCTGTAAAATGATAAAATGAAGTCCATGATCTTATGGCACAACGACTGCGGTTACAGACACACATTAGTGAAGCAGCAGGAGAGCCTCCCAGAGACCCAGCTGTTTGGCCACAATGGCAATTCACACACCAGAGCTTGCTTGCACTTGGACCTTCAAGGAGCCACAAGCCCAAACCTCCTGCCCTCACCACAGTTATGCGATTTCCCCACAGCTATTTCTCCTCGCCCCACGACCCTGGGGCCAGCCTTGGTGAGGGTACCGCAGGTATGAGCTCCTGGGTTGCTCAACACCAGCCCACAGATTCCAGCATCTCCAGATGCTTCCACAGCCGTGAAGTCATCGCCGTGGTGGGGGACTTGACTCCTTTCCCTACAGCGAGAACAGCAATGCAGATGGATGGGTCCCACAGCTAGGGGCTAAGCTGTCAACATATTTTTTTTTATGCTGTCCCCAAAGAAAGTCCCCAAAGAACATGTTCCTTGGATGTCTCCTAGAACTTGGGCTCAAGTCTTGAAGGTGTAAGTGCATTTTTAATGCACTCCAGTCCTGCAAATCTGAGGGCTCTTCTTAATGTATGGGTTTACCACAAGCCACAGCACACAGCGGGTGAAGATCTGAGACTGGCAGGGACAGATAGAGCTGGGTGGCACCACCCAAGCTCTGGTGCTCGCTGTTTCATCAGGGCAGCAGCAAGACCCTGAGTATGAGATAAGGGCTTTTGCAGCTCCCATGGCTGGCATCAGCCTTCTGCTCACCTGGCCACGTGTGGCCCATCCTACAGCCCAGCAGTGGCACCGACTGATGAATCACATCCGCTATTGATCTGGCAAGCAAAGGCCAACAATCAGCCACAAGCCATGTGTCAGCTTCCTTTGCCCACAGCCCCAGCCCTGCTTCCAGCCCAGACTTCCCTGCCCATTAGCATATTGGTTTTGCCACAAACAAGACCTTGTGGTCTGGACAAGATGTTTCTCATTTTCCATAAGGAGCAGTGGCTACTAGATGTGCTTTTCATCAGCTTATTGAGGCATCTTTGGTTTCCCCAGCAACTCTGCTGGAAGATAACCAAATTAACACCCCAGAGGGCATGAAGTGCTGAGGCCAGCTCTCCTCCTAGACCCCCTGTTTCCACTCTGCCCCAGCCTGGCACTAGGTGATGGGAAGAAGGCTGTGGAAGAAGGCCAGCTGGGAAGAAATCCCTTCCCAGCCTAGAACCAGGCATTCCTACCATTATGGATCACTCCAAAAGCAAATTCATTTCAAGATATATGAAACCTAGCCAAAGCCAGACCTGCAACAGAAACCGCTGCCAGCGCACAGTAGCTGTTCCCATGAGAGCTTCTGGCCAGTTCATCAAGGGGCAGGAAGAGCCCAATTCCCATCTGCCCAAGCTAGGGCACCAGGGCTGGGAAGCAAGTTTGCTGCAGATCCGTATAATCCAGCTGCCGCGCCAAGGCAGATCAGTGTTGGCAAGAGAGCTCCGCTGAGCCGCACCCCTCTGCCAGCTCATGCCGTACTTTGTTATGAATCACAGCCAGCTAATGTCCTAACGAGGGCGGCTCAAGAAAACCCACGTTTAGGCCACCAAGTGGCAGGACAGCAGGCTGACCTTATCAGATCAGCCCAGCTGTGACCAAAGCAGTGGCAGACAGCCACAGTGATTAGTACATACTGTGGAATGCACCAGGTTTGGCTATCAGAAAACCCTATTTAAATCAGGACAGACAGTGTTTACAAGCTAGAGGACACAACAAGGAAATTACTGACTCACAAGCATAAATAGGATTATATGGGAGCGTTCCCTGAACTCACTCTTCATCATCCTCTTGAGCAAGGACAGGGAAGTTCCTGGAAGCCATGAGAGCTGCTCAAACAGTACAGGAAACTTTTCTTGTGGGCAGTAAGCCTAGTTTTACAAATTCAGGGAAGTGTAATGGCTGCTGAGCATCTCTGTACTTACCCTCCAGGTTTCAAGACATGCTCTCCTAGGGAGCAGGCTCCTCCTGGGAGCTGGGGCACGGGCAGCCCGGGAAGAGTTAACACTGGAGTGCCGTGCTCGCAGGGCAGGTCTGGAGCAGGCACATTCCTCACATACACACCTGTGACAGGGCACACAGGCACTTTCAGACTTAAAAGCAAGGGCTTCAGGCTTTCCATATAGAGGTCCCTAGAGAAGGGGATGCACTGCTTAAAAAGTGCATCCCCTTCCAAGGGGATTCAGTCTTCCCTACGCCTCTGCTACCAAGGGAAGAGGCTCCAGGGAAGTTGCCCCTGCTTCCTCTTTCCTCTTGGCTGCAGCCTGCCAGCCAAAAGCCAGGAGACTGCCACAGGATGACAGTCAGCCCTTGCCAAGTATTCTCTGGCCACATTCAGCTTCACACCTTCTGCAACTGCCAGCTGGAGAAGGGCACCGGCGCTGCTCGGAGTCTGCTTTCCACCACCTGTTATCCCAGCACTGGAGCTGGGCCAGGGACTTGCTGGGAGAGTTGGACTGGGCAGCTGCACAGCCCCACCTCATCCCAGCAGCTGAAGTCGAGCCCTGCTATTAATATGCTCCTCTCTGGGACAGGTCTGTACAGAAATCAACCTTTTCTGCAGCAGTCTACTTCCAGGATTTCTTCCTCATGTTAAGCAGCTTTATCCCCAGTAAGCACCAAGGGGGATTAACCAATGTGCTGGGGAGCAGAGGCTTTTCCTGCCTGCCAGCGGCAAAAAAAAAAAAAAAAAAAAGAGTTTATTCCCTGCCAGACAACCAGCACGTCAGGCACGTGAACTATGAACGTCATTCCTGGAAAAGCTGGGCACAGAGGTCTCATGCTTGAACCCTAGACTGGCTGCACTACTGGATGAAGCCAGACACTGTTTGCTTAGTTCAGGCACAGGAGTTACACCCCTGGCACCCCAGGCAGGGGCTTGCAGCTTTGCCGTGCTCCATCCCTAGCCTGCCCCACTCCATTTTGTGCTCCTGAGGCCTTTACTTACAGCCCCAGCATACTACTAGCTTCCTCTCAAAGCAAAAACATCTATTTATTGAGGCAGTAAGCAAAGTTTCTGTCCAACGTGAGAATTTCCCCAGCCGCTGGCTAGTTCTGGGAAATAACAAACCCCACCAGCTTGCCTGCCCCAGCCCACATGTCTTCACCACAGCCTTTGCAAACCCTTTCCAAAGAGCCCAAATGACGTTTTGGGGCAGAGACAAAGTTTTCCAGACATGGAACCAGCTTTTACAGCTAGCCCTTATCTCTGATCAAACACATCAGAGTTCATTAAAAGCTTCTTTGAAGGGTCACAGCCAGCAAGCCGCAAAGGGAGTCAGACCTGCAGAGACTCAGGCATTCAAAGCGCAGGGAGCTCTTTATCAAGTTTATAACTTCAGCATGGAGACCCAGCGCTCACTCCTGCATCTCCCTCCCCAGCACTGTGTACATAAGTCTAGGAGTAAACAGGAGCAAGGTGAAAGTCAACCTTACCTAGGCAAATCACACGGAGCTGGGCCAGCCTGGGAGGTGGCAGAAGAGGGGGCAGACGCGCAGACCTGTTAACTCATTGCAGCCTGCCGGGACAGATAAATGCAAGTGGCTCCTGGGGCTTCTGTCAGGGGCTCTGTACTAGGGGACAGTTGTATAGCTCACCTTGCAAGCAGGATTACACAAAACATCTTTCCCAGACCTGTACTGTCAGGGGCAGATGTCACCTCACACCATCATGCACATCCAGATCAACTTAACAAAAAAGAGCTCCTGGACAACACAAGCAGCTGCCCACACGGCCCAGCCTCAGAGCCTGGTTACTAAGAGATCATTCTTGCAAAGCCACCACGCTGGCCCTTGTGCTGTCCTGCATCATGAACCAAAGAGCACCAAATCCAATAGGGCCTTTTCAGTGCAAGGATGCAAAGCTCTGTGAGCCACCAAGCCCAAGACAGGGAATTTATGTACAGTTCACTCCACCGAGCTCTCGCAGGAGCACACAAACCAGAAAGGTTTTAAAGCTCAAGCGAAGTGTTCAAAGGAGCAGGGGTTAGGAGCTGAGCTCACCCCCTTAGAGGCACACCAGCTCCCCAAAAGCAGGAAAGCAGAGGAGCCATACAGTGCTGGAAATGGGTGGCTGAGATTGGTGCAAGTCAGCCAGATAGAGCTGACCTCCAAGGAAGGGAGGCACACAGCGAGGTAACAAGCAAAGACAGCTCTATCCTCCCATCTTAATAAGCATTAAAAGTAAAGTTATTCGAAGTGACATGAGCTTCTGGCAGACAGCTCCTGCCAGACTAGTAAGGGAAGGGTCTGTATTTACCCCCAAACCACCACTTACTCCCTCCAAGCTCCAGCTCTGTGTAGGGGGAAAAAAAAAAACAAAACAAACAAAAACCAGACAACCAAAAAAACCCAAAAGTCACTTTTGTCCTGAGAGCAAAGCAAATAGCAGTATTTCAATCTAGGTAGCACTTAACTCCTTCAACACATCAGCCACAGTAAAAAAGCCACTTGTGCTAGCTCCCTGTGCCCACGCTCGGCGGGTACCATTCTACCTCTCCTTGTTCCTGGTCAGTCTGTCCCACGTAATTCCCAGCGCACACAGCCCAGACAAAAGTTAAACAGCGCCCATCCAGGCACATGCACATGTTTAGTTGCATGACAGGCTCACCCTG